GGCGTATGTCTCCAATACTGGCTGTATCCCTGAACACACAGAAATCTACCTAGCTCTTCTAACCACCACGCTCTTACTATGGCTCTAATAGCTCTGACCCCAGGGCAACTTTATTTATTAACATAAAATTAAAATAACATTTCAGTACAAATAAAATATCACCACAACCTCCCCTGACTTCCTCCTGGCAGAGAAGCTCAGAGGCACATCTGGACTTTCCTGGAGATTTTTTTCCCTGTAGAGTGAGTGACTTTGACCTGAGATCGCTGGCTGCAGTCCGGCTTCACTCCCAATACTTTGTGCTTGGAAGAAACTTAGGGATTCTGAGCAGGCAGCAGTTCCGGCTAATGTTCATGTCCCCAGTGGCAGAACAGTGCATGGAAATCTAAACCTTCTAGAGCCTTCTACTGATTTCCTTGTATTCAGTGAACAGTTGCTCCCTCAGAGGCTACCTTTCCTATTGGAAAGCAGTAGGTCTTTTCTGTTGGGTGTTTTTCGAATGTATCAGTTCCGTCATTTCAAAAGCACTGCTATCTTTGATTCTCTTCTCTGGAATTGTGAGCACTACCTAACTAAAGGAGGAGAAGGTTAAACCCATTCAATACCCACTGCCTGGTCTGTTTCCCATCTTTCCTCCCCGCTGAGTTCTCCTACGGATCTGGGACCCTCAGGCCCTACTGAGGGAGGAACTGAACGGCATAGGCATGGACTGGCACTCACTTGGTGCTGGGTTTGGGATTGCCTAAGTACAGTGTCAGTCTGTCTCAGTTCCTGGCTTCACTTTAAACACTCATTACACTAATAGAAGGATGTAGCCTTTGCTTACAGAAGACTAGATTTAGGAAGTCCAAAATATTCTTTTTGAAAGTTCACTCAAAACTTTGACATATTTTATGAAAAACAGAGAGTTGACTTCAAATCAATGAACTTGGATGGGGTTTTGTGTGTGTGTGTGTGTGTGTGTGTGTGTGTGTGTGTGTGTGTGTGTGTGTGTTTTAGGTGAGCAAGAAAGTTACTAGATTGATTTACTAGTGCTTTTAAATAGAGAAGGGGAAAAGCCATTTTATTTTGAGAAATAATCTCACTATGGAGCCTAGGCTGGCCTTGAATTCATGATCCTCTTGCCTCAGCCTCCCAGGTGCTGGGATCACATGTGTGTGCCATTGTACCAGCTAAAGGTTGTTATTTAGAATAATCAATTCTGCCTCCAAATCTCTATTTGGCTGTTTGGATCTTGGGAAACTTATCAATGGGGCTTTCCTGAGACAGTCGGTGACATAGTTCATGAAATTAAATTCTGTGACATTTGACTCCTGGGGAAGAATTTAGTTACTCAGAGCATTGCACAACTTTTTCTGGGAAAGGGCAGCTCATGAAAGGGAAATGTCTATGGACAGCCCCAGCTGCTTGTCCTCCATAAGAAGGGGGATTGTATTGTCATGCATCTGTGGAGAGGGCAGAGTCTGCTCCTACGATGGGACATACTCAAGAATTTACTGGATAGAAGGCCAAGCTGGATAACATCGGTTAATCCTGAGTCAAGGTCTCACTGTTGGATGAGTGAATCGTAAAACAGAGATCAAGGGGAGAGAGAAATGGCTCGTTGAGCAAGAAACCTGTTGTGTAAGCGTGAGGACCTGAGTTCAAATCCATAGCATCCAGGAAGAAGCTAGTGTGGTTACTCAGACCTGTAACCCTAGTGCTGGGGTGGGGGTCAGAGACCAGACAATCTCCAGGCTTGCTGGCCATTTAGAGACCCTATTTTGTGAAAATACGGCATGGTGGAATGGGATAAAGCAGGACACACAAGTCCCTCCTGGCCTCTCTCTACACATGCTTTGGCATCTCCTCCACTTTTTGGCACACATATATCAGATACACTCCACAGAAGCTTGTACCTGCACACACACACACACACTGGTAATTAAAGCCAGGTGTGTAGTGTGTGCCTGTATTACCAGCACTTGAGAGGTGGAGGCATGAGAATCATGAATTCAAACTCACTGTGAGCTCCTTCCGACCTTCACCCTTCCACCTCCCAAGTGTCAGTGTTACAGATGTGTGCCGCAGCATCTGGCTCTGTCTATGTTTTTAGGTACTTAATCCTTCTTTCAGAAAGTAATAAATATATGCACATGTGAAAATCAGAAGGTCCAGTGAGGGACAGAGAAAAGAGGGTCACTTGGGTCTCTATTCCAAAGAAAATTATTGTTACCAGTAATTGTGTATGCATATACATGCCTGCGTATATGCATATATAAAAATAAAAATTTATATAGTAAGGCACTGGTGACTTGTAGCCATTGTAAATAGAGTGTTTTCAGGGAGCAGAATAAAATCCTTCCACCAAAGTGATGAAGTTCCGCCAAGGGGTGTGTCTAAATGAAGCTCATCTTTCTTCCAGGGACTCAACTTCTCTCTCGGTAAAAGTATCCCTAACCCATTTTAGAGGCCGCAGCCTCTGGCTCTGTTGACTCTCTGTCTGTCTCTGTCTCTCCCTCCCTCCTTCCCTCTGCCTCTCTCTCTCTCTCTGTCTGTCTCTTCCTGTGTCTCTCTCTGTCTCTGTCTCTGTCACACACACATCCTTACAGCCTACACCAAATGACCTCACCTTTGCTCTCTGCTCGTGCTGCCATTGGAGAATTGTGGAGTGAATTTTGTGGGTTTACCTCGCTTCCCTTATTTTACAGGCCAGAAAACGTTGAATCCCAGAGAGGAAGGGCAACCACAATCCCTACGGTTCCAAGGCAGCTTGTTGCTGGTGTTGCTCATGCTTTGAAGATGGTCCTCTTGCCTCTTCCGTGGTAGCGCACTTCCCGAGTCCACCTCCCTCTCCACCTGTAGCCCGCAGAGGTAGAGCTCTGCCTGGTGGGTTGGGTTGTAGGCTCTAGCCCAAGTTCTGTTCTTGCCTAGCTGTTTGTCTCTGAGGACATACACCAGAGTATGTGGTGGCCACCCTGAGCTGGGGGTTCCTTTTTCAGAGGGATCTAATGAAAGATGGGCTGGAAGGTGACTAAGGAAATAGAGCAGCCACCTGGCACCCACTGTTATGCAAATAGATGGTTGCTGGGTCAACTGTCTTCAAACTTACCTGCTGGGTCATCTGCAAGTGGCTTCTCGACTGTAG